GGTTGTGTGGTCAGGTGGATCAACTCCACCACTGAAATCCAAAATTCAGACAAACTATCCATCCTCCTACTTTACGAAGTCTCTCACTCAATTTTCCCTCCTAACGAAGACCACAAATCTCAACTCTTCAATTTTCTCCCTATCGATTATCTCTCTGCTTTCTTCCATTCCTTTTGCCCCAGGTTATGAAATGCAGTTCATCACATCAATCACAATTTGCCTTATTTTCTTTCTCATCAAACCAACTGGAACATTCCCAATACTGTTAATTCGACAGCTTGCCTTTTCTTTTCTACAGTGGACTTAGTATTGTTAAGGGGGGGGGGGGAGTACACAATCATGGTTTTATTCTGAATCCAAAGTTATTAACCTCCACAAGGCTCTCAAAATTGCCCTTCAATCCTTTTAGATATTCCTAATCAGATTTGTCATTCCCATGGTCTATATGGTGTTATTAAATCTTCTCCCCTTTCCTCAACCGTCCATTACTTTGTCCATCAATTTTAGCAGATATTATATTTCACAGAGAAAACAGAATAACATCAATAATGAATATCCTTCATTTTATGCTCCTGACATTCTACTTTACATATGTAGTATTAACTCCTGAGTTTACACATGAGGAACCTTGAGCAGAAAGACTATGAAACTTGCCCCAAGATTACACAGATGGTTTGGCTTGTGGGGTTGTCTGTTGCAGCAATTCTTAAACATTTTGGTCTCAAGACCCCTTAAAAATTCTTAAAAACTGAAGATTCTAACAACCTTTGTTTATGTGGACTATATCTATTGATATTTACCATACAAAAAAATTAAAAGATAACATTTATTAATTCATTAAAAATAATATATTTAGGGGCACCTGGGTGGCTCGGTCAAGTGTCTGGCTCTTGATTTCAGCTCAAGGCATGATCTCATGGTCGGTCATGATCTCACAGTTGTGAGATAGAGCCTCACCTCAGGCTCTGTGCTGACTGTGGAGCCTGCTCGGGATTCTCTCTCTCCCCACCCCCCTTCCTCTTTCCCTCCCACATTTCTGTGCACAGTAGCACACATGCTCTGTCTCTTTCTCTCTCAAAATAAATAAATAAACATTTAAAGAATAATACATCTGTTACATCTTAGTATAAATATTTATACAAAAATGTTATATTTTCCTTAATAGAAAACATACAAGAGTGTTGTATGTGTTACAGTTTTGCAAATGTCTTTAATGTAAAGCTTAACAGAAGGCAGGTGACTTCCTACATATGCCATCCACTGAGAAGCTTTTTATGTTCTTGTCTTCCTAACATACAGTTAGCCAGTAAAACAGTGAAGAGCCCTCTGGGAAATAACCCTCTGGGTGAATTATTACAGTATACACCATTATGATGTTTCAGGGTCTTCCTCCTGGGTGTCTGGCAGCCCTTTCAATGCCCATGGTTGCTAGATCCAAAAACTGGCTGAGACTTAAAAACTGGGCAAATAATTGTGACTCGTTATTGGAATATTGTTCTCAGTCTCCTGGTCATGTGCTCCCTTGGCTTATTTTGATTGTACACACTGAGCAAGATCCTTGTTTGCGGCCTGGGGATCCATTCTGCTCCTGGGGACACTATATACTTTCATCCATCTCCCTAATATTCTGAGTGTCAGAGCCCTCTTCCTTGCTGCCACTCTGCCCTTGCTGGTGATTACAATAATTATGCCAGATTACATTGTAAAGAATGACAAGTTATTGACCCAGTGGCTGGGAGGGGGTTAGGGACAGATCCTAAGGGAATACTAGTTGTGCTAGGAGGAAGAAGTCTCTACATTGTATTTAAGCAAGGTGTGTGTGATGGAGGCAGTACCCACTAGTCAGGAATGTTGGGCCATGTTCAGACACAGAGGGTTCAGGAGAATCTAGGCATTCAAGATTTTCAGGTATCACAACCCAGCTCTCTGCATCAGGGTTTCTTTCTTTACAATCCAGCATTCTGACCTTGGCATAACCAACCTAGCTGAGCTGCATGGCTGTTAATCTCCTTTGGAGCTCTGCCACACTTATGATTTAGTGCTGGGCCTGTTCCTCAGCTTTTTCTCCCCTCCCACTGCAGGAGATAAAAGCCTCTTTATTTGCTACCAAAGAAGCTTTGTGATTTGACTCTTAGATTGTTAATAGCCATTACCCATCTCAGTGTTTTGCTTTTTCCAAAGAATCGATTTTGCTTAGCAACAGCCAATTCCTCTGTCCTTAAGATTATTGTTTCCCTCATATTTCTTAAGTGCACCCACTAGTATATTATCTTTCTTTAGAATACATCCCAGTTAACTACTGATGAAAGCTTTACCTATTGTGCTGTTCCCTCATGCCAAGGTCTGTCTGTCCTACATTTATCACCAATGAGGAGGTCCTCACTGATAGTCAATGTGGCCAATGATTCAAGTTGAATGATTCAATTTTCTTGAATCATTCCTAACATCAACTATCTTAAATTGGTTTCTCTGGAGGTCCTCTGCGCCAGAGATGAATATAGAGAGTTCATCGGGGAGTGCTTTGGGAACAACTCCTGAGGAAGGGATGGTAGCAGGATTGGACAGAAGAAAGAGCTGGCCTATACTCTAGTTTTAATGGAGACCTCAACTTTGAATCTGGGATGTCCCTTCAGATTTGAGGCAAGTGGGCTCAACCTTTATATACCTGTGAGAGTCATTAAATGTGAGCTGACAAGGAAAACAAGTATAACACTGAGCTAGACTACTACTGAAGAGGGCTGACAGCTGAAATTTGTCAGCTTGCTGAACCTCCAGCAGCTCAGGGAATAAGTCCTTTGTTTATTTTTTTTAACTTTATTTATTTTTGAGAGAGAAAAAGAGAGTGAGAGAGAGAGAGCAGGGGAGGAGCAGAGAGAGAGAATCCCAAGCAGGCTTTGCACCAGCAGCACAGAGCCCAATGTGGGGCTCAAACTCACAAACCAAGAGATCATGAATTGAGCCAAAACCAAGAGTTGGATGCCCAACTGATTGAGCCACCCACACCCTTAAGTCTTTTGTTTCTGAAGAGAGATACAGGTAGTGTCTCCCAGTATTCACTACAAAAGTGATGACAAAGTAGAGAAATATTCAGACAAAGACAAAGAATCTTTTCCATTTACAGACCCTCATGGAAAGAATTCCAAAGAGTATACTTCAGAATGATAAAAAAGGAATTCAGAAAGGAGGGAGATGCAAAAATCAATAGTGGGTAATCAATTCATTTAACAGGGTAAATCTTAAACATTACCTGTATAAAACAACAGAACTGTGCAAAACAACAGAACTGTAATAATTTTGGATATAAAAACCACAAGGAAATTGTCTCTAAATTCAACTGCAAGTGCAGTTCAAATCAAATCCTGACAGAAACTTTTTAATAGAATATGATCAATTGATGCTGAAATTCATATGGATGACTAAAGACCCATGAATAACCCAGACCATTTTAAACACCAGCAAAAGAAGGATACCTTTATTTCTTATAAAGTTCTAGTAATTAAGGGGTGCCTGTGTGACTCAGTCAGTTAAGTGTTTGACTCTTATTTCAGCTCAGGTCATGATCTCATGGTTCGTGAGATCAAGCCCTGTGTTGGGCTCTGCACTTACAGCACAGAGGCTGCTTGGGATTCTCTACCTCCCTCTCTCTCTCTTTCTCTGTTTCTCTCCAGCTTACTCTGTCTCTCTTTCTCTCTCAATATAAATAAACTTAAAAAAAAAAAAAGGAGAAATCTAATTGAAATATTATTTGGTAAAATTGCAAAACAAAAAACAATTATATACATACATTATTTATGGATACATATATACCTAGTAAAAGTATCGAAACATCCACAGAAATGATATTAACTTCAGATTGTGATTATCTCTGGTGATAGAAAAAGAACAGATAGATGTGAGGCATTAGCTATACTTTTAGTTGTCAGAACAATACTAATCAAAAAACATATGTAATGCCATAAGCAGAAAGAGTTAAGGGTCCCTGGAAAAAGAAAGATGAGACATAGCTTTCTTGACACAAGAAAAGTCATTTTAGGCCCCTGACCATCTTATCAATTATGTCTGACCTGCACTACTTGCCCAAAGCACATTTCTTGCAGAACTTCCTGGTTTATGTTGAAATTACAGAAGAATTACAATTATTATTATTATTATTATTATTACCCAATAGGTAATAATTTTGAATGAACAACAAAATTTAAGAGCCAACAGCCACTATCAGGCCAGGAGATAGCCTAATCATATCAGGGACCATAAATCAGTGGTAATGGCAATGGTGAGTCCCATTACCTGGCCTCGGTTCTTGAGTTCGGCCAAGAAAGAATTCAGAGCCAAATTCTTAAGCAAAAATTTAATAGCAGTTTAAGCGAAAGGACACTCTAAAGATGGAAGAGCTGGCAGGCCCAGAGGTGGCCACGACACCAGGGTTCAGGGTTGTCTTCTTTTTGTGTTTGCATGGGTTATGGGTCATAGCAGGGCAGTGTCTGACTAAGGTTGCAACCAATCGTCTAAAGGACTTCTCCTATGAGTTGTGAGGGGGAGTTTTTGGTCTTATATGTCCCCTCTCAGAAACTGTTATGGCAGCCATTCTTGGGGGTGAAGGGGGAAGGATTAAAACTGCAATGTAAATGTATTATAATAAAGCTATAGTTTACTGTACGGCAGTAGTCATAGGGGAGAATGTGTGCATATCCCTTGGGGTCTGTCCAGACTGTTTGGAACTTGGCCTCACAACCCCCCTTTTTAAAAAAATATTTTATTTTTAAGTAATCTCTACACCCAACATGGGGCTCAAACCTACAACTCCAAGGTCAAGATCAAGAGTCACATGTTCCCACTGACTAAGCCAGTAAGGTGCCCTGTGTCTCACTGCTTTTATCAGCCAGAAAGTACCTGTTCCCTGCTCATATCCGTTAACTGCCTATGACTCTATCAACAAAACTCCCAATGCTGGTTCAAAAGTAAAGATTGACCTGATGCACATTCTTGTGTTATCTTTACAGGATCTAAACCCCTTTGAGCACTCAGATACCAGGCCAACGAAAGCTAGAGAATTGATGCTGATCCTTGCTGGCTATAGGCCTTCATCACTTCAACCTGGATTCTGCCAACTTAAGATGACTTTTGTCCCAATGTCATGCTGCATTCCCCATTGTACAAGCCCTTTATTTTGCTTTGTTTTGTTTTGTTTTTTGTCTTATTTTTTGTTTTTGAGAGACAGAGAGAGAGAGAGCGTGCGCACACCAGGTGAGAGGGGCAGAGGGAGAGAGATCTTAAGCAGGCTCCACACTCAGCACAGAGTCTGACACAAGGCTCAATTCTGTAGTGGTGACTCACACACAGAGAGTCAGGACACCACGTCTTTTCTTTCCAGGAAGCAGCTTTATTCATGCCAGCATAGGCTCAGCAGGCTAAGACCCAAAAGGCTGAGCCCCGAGTGCAGCTTGGGGTTGCTTTTTGTACAATTTTTGCTCCTTTGTCTCCTATATATGGTAACATACTGTCCGAATGGCCAGTCATATTACAGTCATGAAGGATGTCATGCATGCACACATAGACAGATTGCCTGCCCTTGTCTTGGGATTTTCACCACATTCCTTAGGGTGGGGCTCTACCACATTCTCCCCTTTGATGCTCAGACCTCCTATTTTGGGTCAAAGAGCATCATCTTGCATCTTGGTTTAGAGGTTTATATTCCCATAACATCATCACATGTGTGGCCATTTTCCTTTCAACCATTACCTTAATGAGGCTGGAGACAGACTGTATCACAAGGGGAGCTAGGCAAGGTAGGATTAAGCAGGCTCCCAAAATCAAGAGGATAATTCCCATGAGGGTTTTGAATCTCCCTTTCTGTCTCTGTCTCTGTCTCTGTCTCTGTCTCTCTATCTCTCCCTCCTCTCTCCACCCCCCACCAAGAGTTGAAAACCATCCTCCAAATAACTCCCGGGGGTCCCAAACTTTCCAGGTCTGGACTGGGACATGAGTGACCTTTGTCATCCCATCTGTGATTTCCTCTACGACTTTCCTTCATCACCTATCTGTAGGCAGCAGTTGCTCAGGTTGAACTTTCCACAAACTCCTCCCTCAGAAGCAAGCAAGTAATCTAAGGCCAAGCAATTTTGATAGCATGCACATTCTGGTTTGCTGTTTGGCTAGTAAGTTCAGAGCTCTGGCAGTTTCATTGGTTATAATTTCTACAATGGCTTGCAGTCTGATTATGTGGTTTAGAATGTAAATGGGACTGCGGTAGTCCGAGGACCCATCCTCTGCCCAGGGTCATAATATTGGATTATATGCTCGTGAGGCCATTCATCATCTTTCCAATTGCCAATTTGTAGGGCACGTCATTTCCTTCCAGTCTCCCTGTCCCCATACAACTGGACTCCCAAATGTTCCCCTCTGGCAAGTGAGAGCAGGAAGAAAGATGGATGAATAGTTCCCAGCACACATGACTCTGACCAAACTGAGGGAAATATTATATAGGCTGTCCTTCCATATAACCTGTATAGTCCACCTCTACCTGGGGCCTGCCATTCAATGGCTGCGTCGACATTGTCCCAGGCCTCTTGGAGATGAGAGAAGTTAGCCACAGGGTAGGGATCTGGCTCAAGGTGATCTGGGGACCCCCACCCTCAGGTTTCCTGGGCTGTTAAGTTATAAAATCTTTGGCCTACGCACATTAAGCTTCCAAGAGAGATGGTGAACTTTCTTCCTCACTGGGCAAGGAAGGTTTTTACAATAATTGAGGTTTTGAGAAGCCAAACCCTGGTAGTAGGACTGGGGTGTTCTGTTCCATTATAAGGTTTGCAGGGATCTAATTCTCTAGCCTCCAATGGCCATTGATTCCCCCATACATACATAGCAAGAAGAGACCTTCAGAGTCTCTGCTAGGGTTAGAAACAACTTCGTTGCTGTGACTGAGATGGGAGGGGGGCTACTTCTTATTTCTTCACTGAGGGAGTGGAAGACTTGATGGGACATGGTTGGATGGGCAGTAGTGACTTTCTTGGCACAGTCCCTGGGTCTCTGCCTCACCCATGGATCCAGATGCCAATTCAGGTGCCCCATTGCCATTTGGAATCTCCTGGGTTAATGATGGTAAAGTTAACAGAATTACAGGCCTTTGATTGACAACTTGATGTAGCAGGCCCCTTCTGAAGGAGCACTGTTGTGCCTTCTTTTTTCCAAGTAGCCCATGAAACACAGCTCTAGCTGGGGCATAAAAACTCAGGTGTACAGGCACATAAACCATTTTCCTCACACATATATTTGTCATTGAGTCGGGATTCCCACTCCCAATCTAAGCCTCCACATGGCATATCAAGAGTCCTTGGGCCCTTTATGACAAATGCCTGCTTTTTTCATATGACAGATGCCTCTGGGCCAATACCTATAACCTCACATACGTCAAACAGCATTGACACCAGTCGTTTGGGTTAGTTATTTGTGTCCAGCTGACCAAGCCCCCTCCCTCACCCCCTGGTAGGATGGGACTTCTAACCAATCTTCACTGGGGGAGTACTGTGAATCAAAGCAAGTGTGTTGACTCTCCCGTTGGCAGATAGAATAGGTGGTCTTATTGTGTCTGCAGGTCCCCAGGCCTTTTCCTTGGCATGAGAAGTGGGTATGATATAGTAAGGTCCAAGTGACTCCTTGGCCTGACCTGGTTATGTGAATATATGGGTCACAAGAAGAGGAATCTAGGTCTACAGAAGGGGTCCAGATTAGAAGCAACCAATACCAACAAAGCATCCCAGCCAGAAGGGGAAGGTGAGTGCTAACAGAAACCTCTCACCACACTCCCAGCTGGCCATGGCGGCCTCTGCCAATCCTATGGTAAAAAGTAGAGCAAGAATCAAAATAACAGGGAGAAACATGGGGTGACAGTGCATCACAGTAAGGGAACAGATATAGAAAATAAGGACAGTCTATTTGTTTCACCAGATGATGGATTCCTCAAGCTTCTGCTGTGCGTAGATTAGTCAGTTTCCAGAGTACCTAAAGCAGGGCTGCAGTCTCCCAGAACCTCTGGAGTTGCAGATTGCTTCTTCCATGTGGTCAGCTTGCACAGCGTTGATGGATCAGGAATGCATTCCGAGCTTTGAGATGCTGGCTTCACTCTGGTGTGGTGAATCCAGGGACCCACTCCTGCTACGTTTATTACACTAGGGGTGGACAAAATGACAGTGAACAGGCCCCTCCAGAGCGGTTTTAGGGGTTGGACATTCTACTCCTTCACCCATACAACATCTCCTGGTTTAAAGGGGTGAGAATCTGTGGTCAGACTCACAGTTAATCGCTCCCTAACCCAGTGGTGTAAGGTGGTTAGTGTAGAGCCAAGGGCCCTCATCTGTTGCCTTAGGGTTAGATTGTCTATCTTATTTAGATCTCCCCTTATGCCCTTGATAATGGGGGAAGGGTGCCCATTAAGGACTTCATTAGTGAAGAACCCCATCTGCTTAGTGGGGCTCTACCTGATTCTTCACAAGGCAATTGGCAACACCTGGTCCCGGTATAGGTGGTCTCCTGACATAGTTTCCTTAATTGCAGCTTCAGGGTTCGGTTCATTCATTCCACCTTCCTGGAGCTCTGGGGTCAGTATGCCCGTGTGTAACTTCCAGGTGATCTTTAACCCCTTTGCCACCAGCTGCACCACCTCAGCTACGAACGCTGGCCTGTTATCTGATCCCATAGTGTTAAGGATCCCAAATCAAGGAATGATTTCTTTTAGAAGAAGTCAGTTCACTTCACATGCCTTTCTGTGCGAGTAGGGAAGGCTCCCACCCAGTCTGAGAAAGTGCACACAAAGACCAACAGATACTTACAGCCTCAGACCCTGGGAGCTCAGTGAAGTCCACCATCATACTTTCAAATGGAGCTCCCTGGACACTCTGCACCTCAGGGGCAACCTTGGGTCCCTGACGTGGGTTATTCTGGGCCCACGTTTCACATTGCTCACACACTGCTTGGGTTATGCTGGAGAGTCAAGGGATGTAGAAATGTCTGCTCAACGTAGTGTCAAGAGCTGTCAGGCCAGTATGGGTTTCCTAATGGAACTGCTTGACAAAAGCTGGAACCAGGGCGTTAGGAACTGCTACTCATCCTTCTTCAAATTTCCACCATCCACCTGGGAGGTAGCTTCCATTTTCAGTCTTAAAGCAGGTACTCTCATGTTGTGAGTAATTAGGGTCCCATTCTGCCAGTGGGCTAGGGAACTATGTGGTGGTTAAAGCTGCTGATTCTGCTGTTCCTTTGGAGGCCGCAAGCTTTGCCTCTCGATCTGCCTTACGGTTTCCCCATGTGGCCGTGGTGTCTCCCCTTTGATGTCCCAACAATGCATGACTGCCACTCTTTTAGGAGCCCATGTAGCATCTAAGAGTTCAAGGATTTCCTTATCAAACTTTATGTCTTTTCCTCTTGAGTTTATTAGATCCTTCTCTTTATATAAAGCCCCATGTACGTGGAGGGTGGTGAAGGCATAGAGTCTGTGTATATATTAACATGTATCCCTGCCACCAGTTGGAGAGCTCAGATTAGTGTGATGAGCTCTGCCTTCTATGCTGAAGTCCCCTTTGGCAGGGGTTTGGCCTCAATGATAGAATTCAGGGTCACCACAGAGTACCCTGCAAGACATTCTTCCTCTTTCACAAAACTGCTACCATTAGTGAAATACTCAGCGACAGGGTCGTTGAGGGACTGGTCCCTCAAGTCTGGTGAGCTGGAGAATACCTCATCCATGACTTCAATGCAGTCGTGGTCTGGTTGACCTGGTCTGACAGGCAGCAGGGTTGCTGAGTTTAGGGTCCACACTACTTCTAGGTGAATGTGCAGGTTCTCACATAGCATTCCCTGATATCTGACCATCCTGGTGTTGGTTAGACAGTACTGTCCCTTGTACTCCATTAATGTCAATACTGAACATGGCAGTTGGACTGTCAATTCTTGTCCCATAGTTAACTTGTCAGCTTCAGACACTAGAGGGCTGTAGATGCCAGTGCCCATAGGCAGGGTGGCCAGCCTTGGGTAACAGAGTCAAGCTGCTTGGAGAGATATGCCACCGGGTGATGCCATGACCCCAACATCTGAGTTAAGACTCCCACTACGATGCTAGTATGTTCATGAACGTACAAGAAAGGCTTGGACATGTCTGGGAGCCCCAGACCAGGCGCATTTAC